CTTATATATACCAGGCTACCTTATATCTAGTAATCTCCCGACAATTCACGAAGGTACAAATATTCCAGTAAGCAGGGGCGTGACGCAACAGTATAAACTAAATGTACTTCCGCAGAGTCTCCGAAAGTGTTCTGTTTCAAGAGTAAAGAAAACCAAAATTAAGAGTAACAAATATTTGTATTTCTTGCTTTTTAAGTTTATATATCATGTCGTGTTGTAGTCTACAGAGTGCATAAATATTCTCGTGATTTGTGGCATTCTCATGTTTACTGACACGATAATACAAATTGCAACATTAAGCATCCCTTATGTGACTGATAGATAACACACTACAGCATAGTGGTACGAGTGGTTAAAACAAATGACCCCTCCAGGCAGTCTTCGGCCCCCCTTTTGAGAAAATTATAGATATTTAATTTAAAATCGTATATTTTACAATTTTGCTAGTCACTTGTCAATTATTAGCCGCGAATGAGCGGCTCATAGAACGGCTCTGAGTTGTTTTTTTTGTTTTGTTTTTAAGTACAAACTTTTAGTTCATAGCTCCACCATCTCTTGACAGATTTGAGATCTAATTATAGTTCTCGACTCAGGAGGCCAAGCCTTTTCGATTGTTGTATTTGACCACGCCCAAGGTCTCGTAAATTGACTTATTCCAATCCTGCCGAAAAGAATATCAATTTGAGGGTAGGTTGTCAGAGATCCAGATGAGTAATAAAATCGAATAGGGTATACGCGCGTCCCACGCTTGATATTGCTGGCGCACAAAAATATAGCTGACAAAAAGCGAAACAAAGGTTTCATGGATTAATTTACTCTAATCCTGCTTAGACGAATTTCAAGTGCCGCAGTTATTGGGGATCCCTTTTTGTTTTCTTTCATGTATAAATATCTATAATGTAGGAATTAAACAAAACTAAGCCTTGTTTTCGAAAATTAAGGTTAATTATTTTTCAAAAATAAAATCATAATTACCTATACCTGATACAGCTGATTTGAATGTAATGTTACGACAGCGGAAGTCACGTGACGCTGGGAGCATGCGCGCTGGAGGATCATGAATTATCGAGGAACCCCGCGAGTCTCCTAGTGTTTGCCAGACGCCCTCTTTTTTACTATATAAGCCCGACAAATAAAGCCAGTGAGAAAGATAGAATTGCAGAGATATATAGAGTGAAAAAGATAGATAACTGAGTCAAGCGAACAGTGGGGACCCTAAGTAAAGTGTGTGAATCGCTGTGATTTATAGGGTGTGTTATAAAGGTTATTACGTTTAAAGTGACTGTGGAAATTCTGTGTATTATTAAAAGTTGTATCGAGAAAGAATAAACTAGTTTTAATCAAGAAGTGACTTGTATCGCTGAAGTTCCTTGGAAAGAAATTATACCGGAAATTAACAAACAAGCAGATACGTAACAGTAATATTTTGTATACGGGAATATTATTTGGATTAAAAGTTCAAACATTTATATATTTATTTGTATTAGTTTCAGTTTAAATAATACAACTCATTTTAAACACATGCTTCGTTGATTAATAATTCTAAGAGTTAAAATAAGGGAGAGTGTATTACAATATGTTAATCACACCATATCCACTATAACCAGTGCCAAAGAGACCTCTCGCATAATGCCACAACTCATTAAGCTGGGTGAGATACAACAAACAGTAGTAGCTGAGACGCTATATTTATTATCTATTTGCACGATCAACAACGGTTATGGTGTGAAATAATTACATTGAAGTACATTTTAAATACTGTTACGTCTCCGTTTGTTAATTGATTTTCCGTAACTTCGTTCCGACGAAAC